GTTGTTTTTTTCTTGAGTAGCGTAAAACTGATCGTGAACTCTGATTTGCCCATGTATATCGGGTGGAATTGATTTTGAAAGAATTTTAGCCTTCAAACTAAAGACTGCGTCTATCGTCAGAAAGTATTTACTTACAAAGAGGTGCTAATTTTACAAAATTGACTTGTATTGTTCAAAGCCGCTACCACATCACGCGACTATGTCTATTGTTTACAAATTATTATCCACGACTGGCAGGATGCGTGTCGGTCGGTACGTAAGTATAATAACAATATGACAATAGTCGGAAGCGTTTCTGCGGTGGTCGCTAATTTTGAGTTCCGGTCAGGCCAACCAGCGTGACGAGATCCCCCAATGAAAAGAAGCACTGTGGCGGTTTTGCTAATCACCGTGGCGGTGTCAGACCAGTGTGGCGGCAAATTGAAGCACTGTGGCGGGACCGCCACGCTGTTTACATCCTGGGGAGAACACTGATCCAGCGTTTCGATTGGTTTATTAGCTACTTGACCTATCAGGTCTACAAAACAGTTTCAAGAGACAGAGAGATGTTTGAACAAACATGGCAGATCTCGTATTGGATCGAGTGTTTATATGTGACTGCTTGCGGTGAAACTAAGTTGAATTTTCACAACAATTCAACGAATTTATTTTTTGTACGTTATTGTAATCACTACTGAGTAATAATCAGCAATTGTAACACTTTGAAAACAAGTAAGTTATTCACTTGTGTGAAAAGCAGCATGACCGTTTCCGTGATCATTTGCTACTAAGAATGCATTCGTTTTTGTTTTGACTTCTCTGAGAATATACTTTGAGTTATCAAAAAAATAAGAAAATAAATATATATTACATTAAATAATATAATATACTGAGTATTTTTTTTTTGTTATCATGCGAAAATATTTTTTTTGATTGACTTTTTTAATTTCCCCGATGTCTGAATTAAACTTGGAATGTACAGTCACTCTGCCGGAAGTCGAACATGCCGCAATCGACTGTGTCAGACGACTGTCTCTCACTTGTGACTTATACCGGTGCTAACGAATTAGTCTATTCAAGAGATTGTAGTATACAGTTCCGTAATCTGCAAATGCATACAATTTGTTGATATTATTTATTGTGCAGTATGTTATACTGTGTGAAATTTCATTTGTGTACAAGTTTGTCTGTGTAAAAATTCGAAAATGCCTTAGAATCGCAACAAAGTTGCAATGAGTGTCGTGCATCTCATTAGCATATCATTATCCCTTCTGGCTTTTGTTTTTTGAAAAAAATTCCCACTGTTCACGAAGTGAATGCTCTAATTAAAGCCGCACCAAGACTTCACGCATTTGAATTTGAAAATGAATTTTAATTAAAGCTGCGACCTCAATTAGGAATTTTACAGTACATTGGTGTATGTGTATTTTTCTTTTCACAAAACATCAGTGAATCAAAGTTCCATTTCACGTATTATTTTCACACCTGTAAGATTGGGCTTATGGTAGCGGGACTATTATTTGCATACTTGTTTTCATCTTCTAATTGTGACTAAATGACTACAAATAGACCCGGGAAAGTATATATTTTTAGAATCGCCAGACTTCAAGCTTTTCACAAGTGTATTTTGCATGCCCGTATCTGCATTCTACGACGCGTTACTCAATCAAAGGTGAAAAATTACTTTTTCTGTAAAAAAAAAATTACGCAAATATGCTGGCGATAAGAATTTTTTTCACTTTTCCTAGTTGTTCAATAGTCTGGTAAATTGAATGTCTGGTCAGTTTTATTCAAGCGACGCGTTTTAAAAAAGTGTCCTGAATTTTAATTACTGTTTTAATCGCATTGCCCCCAACTCGAACCACAACTCGTTGGTAAATAATCAATGAAATAGTTTGTCTGGACACATTCAAGTTCCTCTCATTGTCACCTTAAAGCTGTGAAAATTTGGTGTTAATCCGACGACAATAAGTATACGTTATTTTTTGTTAAAGACCTTGTATTTTGAAAACATAAACTCTAGAAAACGTCCATGAAGTAACAGCAAAGATTTCAAGC